TAACTAGAACTCATTTTAATTTACATTAATTTAAAAATAAATGTTACCACTTCCCTAGGGAATATATACATGTGGTAATAAACAAGTCACACGTTTGTTTCAAATTTTAGGTGGGTGGACTTTTTTCTTTGATATCCACATTTCCCATGTCTACCCCATTTTTAGGGAGACTGAAAGTATATACAGAATACCTACATTTTGCTTTTATATATGACCTGGTATTGTGGATTGAACTATGTCCTCCAAAAAGAAATTCTGAAGTCCTAACCCCTGGTTTCTGTGAAGGTGACTTTATTTGGAAATAGGGTCTCTGTGGATGTATCAAATTAGGATGAGGTCATATATCCAATTTTAAATCCAACATGATTGGTGTCCTTATGAGAAGATGGAAATTTGACCACAAAGACACAGATAAACAAGGAGAAAGAATGCCACATGAGGCAGAGATTGGAGTGATATGCCTATAAATCAAGGAATACCAAGGATGGCCAGCAAGAAAGGACACTTTCCTAGAACCTTCAGAGAGAGTATGGCCCTGCCCACACCTCAATTTCAGACTTCTGATATCATGACTGTGAGAGAATATATTTCTGTTGTTTGAGCCACCTAGTTGGTGGTGCTTTCTTATGGACTATGACATTTTAGGAGAACTAAGAGAGCATGGTCTCCTAAAATCAAGTAAACAAAATGTTTCAAGAAGGTTGTGATGATCTGTGTCAACTGAGAGGCCAGGATATTGAAAGAGGCAGTGCTGGAGAGAGAAAGAGTGAAAGAACGAGGGAGAATATCACAGAGCTCTGCAGAAAACTACAACAGAGAGGGGAGACAGATGATAAAGTCTGAGAGCCTATGGTCAACTTTCAAAGGAGCTGTAGATTTCAGGGAAAAGTGGCAAATAGTGCTCGGGAAGTATGCACAAGGGACAAGAAAGACCACTACCCCACATCAGGCCTTCACATTCTCCCTTTTCTCTCATTGCTCCGACCAGGACCCTACCAAAATCTTCAAGTTCATTTACTCTTCATGCCCCCAGGGTATCTCTTCAGGGACTCCCATCCAAGACAAACAGCCTCCCAAACCAGCCTGGTCCCAGGAACTGATCAATTCTAGGGATGCTTTAGAACACTGTGTTCATAGTAGAAGATCAGACTACCAACAAATAAGACTGAATAAAAACCGAATGCCTGCCCCAAAACAGATCCACTCGCTTTAGGATTCTCCACATCAGTGGTTCTTAATGGGGAATGATTTTGCCCCCCACCCCCCAGGAGATAGCAAGAGATATTTTTAGTTGTCACATTGGAGAGCAACAAGGGGGCAGGCTGCTACTGGTATCTAGTGGGTAGAGGTCAGGGATGCTGCTAAATACCCTACAATGCAAAGGACACCCACAACAAAAACTTACATGGCCTAAAATGTCAATAAAATGGAGATTGAGGAACCCTACTCCAGACCAAATGACCTGGGGCAAGAGGAGCTCTTAGGTTCTTTCATATGGGTAAGCAATCCCACCCATACCAGTTTCTCTACACCAGTTCTGACAGGGTATGGCTAAGGGGCCAGACCAAACAGTGAGCCTTATGAATTCCATTCCAAATCTACTCAAATAGGACCAGGAAAACTAGGGGAAAAAACAAACAAACAAAGCTAAGGTTAGTAAAATAGTAAAAGTTAAAAAGAAAGAAAAAATTGTGTCGTATATCAATGTTAAAGAGGCAAGATTAAAATGAGAACAAGCAAAAAGACTTTTCTTTCAACTTAAGAAAGCAGAAAATACAACTCTTTTCATTTTGAATAATAAATAATACCATGTAGTAAAATTCAAAAGCCAGCATGCTCTCTTAGTTCTACCCACTGCCAAAACATTCTTCCAGTACAGTGCTCCATATTCTTGACTGCGAAAGGAAGCTAATTAAAGTGAGTTTTTTGAGAAAACATCTTGGGAATTCAAAATAATTAATGTGTTGCTTTTATTTTTTCATATTAATGTTGTTGCTTTTAAAATTAGAAGCCATGAATCTTGACATTAAGGAGCTTACGTGTTCTTACCTCATCAATATTTACTTATAGTATCAATATTTTATTAGATCAATAATCATCTACAGTTGGACTTCCCAGAATTCCCATTCATTCTCTTTCAGGTTATCTCACCAATTAACAGTTCTCCCTTCCTTAAGGGGTTTCCAGAGAATTGTTCTGAAGAGTCTACTCTCTACACGGAAGGCATTCCGACTCTACCATTTCTAGTTCCACCTTAAAATCTGCTCTAGGGAAGTTTCAACCAATGCATATGGGGTAGGATTGCTGTGTCTTAATGAGAAATTAGATCCTTCTGCCTCTGTGCTTTATCAGCAGGCTGCCTGGAATCCAGTGTGCTGTTTTATCAGAGGAACCTTTGCAGCAAAATGGTTTATATGCCTGTTATTAAAGGAGTAAACCCCCACTGAAGTTCCCATGTATGTATGCCCTGAGAGGAGTCAGACCTGACCATCAGTTGTCTCCCACAAGGCTGAGACCAGCTGTAGCTTCAACAGACATAGGGATCCTCAACCTCCGCTCCTCCATTCGGGTGCCAGGAGTTTGTGAAGAAAAGAGCACTATAAATATTTCTCTTCAAAACACATCTCCACAATGTCCGACAGTATCTCTCCCAGGACTGTTACAAGAGTAGGGCCCATATCTATAAACCCAGTCAAAAGGCAACATGTATTGATATTCCAATAACATAACTGATTTTTTAAGGAAAATAACCCAAGAAACACATATATAAATACAGATACACATATATAAATCTGTGTATGTGTATGTATATATACATATGTAGAGAGAAAGAGAGATTGCTTGACTTATTGACTCATTCAAGAAAAAAAAAATCAGAAATATCCCAAAATGCCCATCAGGGGAATGGGCAAGCAAATTACATCATGCTTACATAATGGAGAGAAAATAGGGGGGAAAATGTAAGCATGTCTACCATATGCCAAGTGTGTTCATATTATTTTATTTCATTCTCTCCACTGCTCCATCAATTACCCTTTTAGCTAAGAATCACTCACCACAATTTACAGAACACAAATGAAAAGCCCATAAAGAAAGAAAGTTGCCCTGGGTCACAGAGCTAGTGAAGGGCAAAGCTGAGATTCACATCTACGTTTTCTTACTCTCTGCCCAGCATTTATTCCACTGCATCCCAGATTTCCCCCCAAGATCTAAATTTGGACTAAGACAATAAATGGAATTGTAAATATAAAATAATGTTAAATAAAAGTCAAACCACAGCATAGCTGCACTGGTCTTAATCACATGAAAACTGATGATACCAAAACTGATGATCATCAGAATGAGACTGACAGAAAAAAACTGGAATTGAAATCACTCCAGTTTGTTTCTCCTGTGAAGTTGCTTAAGCACATAATAAAGAAAATCACCAAAATCTGCTCCTCCATGCATGCCTGTCCCAGGCTAACTAAGGTTAAGAAGAAGTGATAAATTTCAAACACCTTTTTAAAGGCTGAATGTGGCTGGGCCAGTTTAAGATAAATAGCCCCATCCTTCATAAAATTCTCAGCTCTTTTAGAGACAAAGGGACTGACTGGTAGAGTTTTTTCACTAGATCAAAAGATGGAATTTCTGCAACTTAAAAAGCTTTGAGAGCAAGTTCATGTCTCTACAGAACTCTCCTTTTATAAAAATTAGCACTTATACTGTATAACAAACATTCTTTAAATTCTTCCCTCAACCAAAAGAATTTACTCCTGGAACATCCCCTTTGCAGTAGCTTTGCCCATTGAGCATCTATCACCTGCGGTCAAACAGAATTACCTTGGAATCTCCCTCCTCTCATTGCTCTCATCAGGTCTGGGGGCTATCCTGCTGCTTAATGGAGGAGCCTAACCCAGGCGCGGATCTCACTCGGACCTCCCCATTACGCTGCAACTTACAGAAATAACTAGCGGTGGGCCTGGAGTGCAGCCGCCCCCCGCCCCCCGCCGTGCCAGAGTAACTGGGGACTCGTATGAATAACTGCCTTTCCAAAGATAAACCGACAAAAGGCTCACTAGGTTTACACAGTCCTGTTCTCAAACCCAAAACCTGAGAACTGGGCAAGACACCACTCTTATCTTGACCCTTGGTTCTTTCGTTTTTATAAGGGGTGGTTACCCGTTGTCTCCTGACTTCAGGAAGACAGCAGAGGCCTGAAATGTTGGCAAAAGTCTTTTGAAATTGTTTTTAAAAAGAAAATGGTTTATAAATACAATTTCCACTGGTGTCAGTTTCTTTATGAAAAAGTATTTATTTTAAAAAACATGGAAGTAAAATTTCCTCTACCGGTTTCCCTTAAAACTACCGTTTTGATTACTGAATAATAATCTCTCTTGGTTCTCTTTCCTTTTAAAACTCTTACCTATTTCCTCTCTTCCTGTGTTGACTACTACTAATAAAATATCCTGATTCAAGAATCTAGGAAAATGCTTGAAATGACTTGTCAGATTAGATCATACTATTATTACATTTGAGAGTAGCAGTTTATTCAAATCTTCCTAACACCAATCCGCACAAAAAAAGTCAGTCAGCTAAAATGGCTGATCTCATTCTTGGCTTCTGGCTACAGCTCCAGAGGTTGAATAATAAGGTCACGTATTGGAATTTCCTTACTATGCCAGCCACTCTATGGACAGCTTTCCATGTATTAGCTCATTTAATCTTCACAACAATCCTAGGCAGTAATTGCTTTTGTTACTAATATTGTTATTGTTAAAGTTCTTGTTATCTATTCCCATTTTATAGATGAGGAAGCAGGCCCAGAGCCGGTGAGTCACTTGCCCACGACCACTCATCCAGTACACTGGGAGCTAGAGCTGAACCCCAGACTGGCCGGCTCTAGCACCCGTGGGACCACCGCACCGTCACTGGCGCTCTCCGCTATGGCCATGCAGTTGGCTCCTCCTTCTCTAAGTCAGGTACATTGCTACTGTTCCCAAACACAAATTCAAACTCACATCTCTCATCATTTTCACTGCTTCCCTGGTCCTCCCGAGTCTTCTGGCACACATTGCTAGCCTTCTTTTGATGTAGACCAAGACATTAGTATCTCGTCCTGAAGAAGGAAATATAAAATACCAAAATTTAAAAATACAAAAGCTTTCAGCTGAGCAGCAAGAAAAAAATACAGAGGCCCATTTGCGATGCCCTTAAAGGAAAACCTCAGAGAGAACAAAGCGCTCCTTTGGCTTTTTCTTACTGCCAGGCACACTGACAACTTTGCTAATAGTAAAATGCATACAGTGTAGTCAAAATACTTAGATTTCCAAAGGTCAAATCATGTGACTGATTACCTAATCCATGCTTTTGAGTTAGAATGTTGAGTATTTGATAAATAAAATCATCTGCCACAAAGTGCTGGGAAAATGAACATACCCACATTGAATGTGGTTTATAAGCAAGAATTCCATATTCTTCAAGTCTGCATGCTTTTGGTGGAGATGCAAAGAGGTGAATCTCAGGTTGCATCTTGATGAACTATTTTTTTTCCTTCTTGACATTAAGTCTGGAGAAGCCTCATCTTGAACTTCTGTTTTATATTATTCTTTCCCTAAAACTAGTGACATCATAATCATCTCCAGGTCCCCAAAGCAGTCTATTTTAGATGGCAATATAACACATTCCAGATATGACAATAGAGTACGCAACAAAATGAAAACTACCCTAGTGTTAGAGAAAGCACTGACAAGCTAACTAGTTATAATAATAGTCACTAAAACGGCTCTTAAAAAGTACATTAACAACTTCTCATCTTAATCTTTTATTTAATTATATGTCATTTTGCATATGTTTCTAGACCAGTGAGAACATGCATGCATTTAATCCTCAATAAAATTACCATGTTTTAGAAAAATATGACACACCTGTTATAGATTAAGTACATGTATAATATGCAGCTATTAAAAGATGTTAAGACCAAAGTCCTAACATTTCAAGTTTTAAACAATGAGAACAAGATGTGTGCTGAAAATCTGCCAAGGGCCTACAAATTATTTTAAAGATGTGATTATATTTTTTGGATAGATTTAGGTAACAGGTTGAAAGGATTTAATCTACAGAAGAAAAGAAATAAAGAAAATTTCTTAAGTTATATTATAGGTAATGTAATTTTATGTGTTAATTCTCATTTAGTTCACAAAATAGACATTATGATACAAATGCCTTCAAAATTCATTGTTATAATTTTTTTTTTAAAAAAAGCAATAGATATATGGTTCGAGGCTTGATTAACATACATACTGCAGAATGCAAATAAAAACTCATGTATTATTGTGTTGGGTGGACATACTCATGTATACACACAAAGATCAAAGATCTTGCTGTACCTTAGTCATAAGGACTAATGCACTCATTCTCTGCACCAAATCCAAGTTTAGCATTAAAATTTAATTTTATAATCTCAAATATGAAGGAGATGCAATCCTACTCTCCAAGATGCAGGAGGGGAAAATATGTTGAGAAATTCCACTTTAAGGAAACAGCCTAAAGTCTGAATGGAAAATGAAATGATTATTAAATTTCTACTTAAACAACCAAAAAACTGACAAGTCAGCTCCAGGAATTCCAGAAACAATTTTTTTATCTTGTTTCTATACCATTCCCCCAAAATATCACTGACCCTCTGTTTAGTGTACTAAAGTGAAAGGCCTCATTTTAAAGAGTTATCTTAAATAAAAGCAGCCACTATTTTTAATATAAAAAAGATAAATAATTACAAACTCATGACTTTTTTAATCTCTGGAAGCCAATACCAATAAGCTAAATACTGAGATAATCACCAATAACTATGATATTCTTAGTTGTCCTATTTCAACCCATGCTGTAGAAGACTTGTAAGAGAAAAACTCTGATTACATTAACATAAATTTAAGTCCTGTTTCCCAAGTAGGCCTTAGGTTATGGGGCAGAGAAACAACTAATAAACAGAAATATATAAGAATTCTGAGGAGAAAAAAAGGTTACCATTAAAGGTTATTACCATTTATTTCTAGAGTTAAGGATCTAAAGATTAGGAAAGAATCTGAAAATGAATGTGAACAGTAATGAAGCTATAAGTTAATTACATACTGTGCTTTTATGGGAAGGAAAAAAAATAACAGAAAGGCAAAAACTAGTCTTTATTTTCATCTCAGACAACCATATTTTGAACTGGCCTGAACATTTGTTCTGATTAATCATGCTACAGTTCTGACCCCCAACACGTCAGCCTGGAGAAAACCTTACTATGTTGGGCTTCGTACTGGGATCCATGATGCTGTAGCTGCTGAGAACGCCGGTAACAGCCGTCTCCAGCCTTCAGGGCCTGCTTAAACAGTTTTTCTGCTTCCGCGATGGTTGTTGCTTCCTCTTCAGCCAAGAGAATATAAGCAGTCGCACACCTGTCCATTCAGATAATAGCCACCATCAATTACAAATCCAAGGATATTGTCACAGCTGGAGGAGTGCATGCAGAAGGGCAAGGAGTTATGCCAAAACATGCAGAGTGGCCAACTGGTTCATGCACCCCTGGTTTGTAGTTGTTGACACAAAATAATGACACAAAAGAAATGCCTATATTTTAGCTTGAAAGGTAGGATGTGTAGTGTTAGGAACGTGGGGCTCACAAATGGACTCTGCCCCTTATTAGTGTGTCACTTTGGGCAAGTTATTACTCTGCCTCCCTGATGGAGCACAACATGAAACTGATTTGTTCACAGTGTTGTTGCAAAGGTTAAGTAAGGTGATGCATGTGAAGTGCTCAGTACAGTAGCCGGCATGGGGTACATACTCAGTCAGTGTCAACCAACAATGGCAATGACAAGAGCTGTTGGGAAAGATCTCCTTCCAGCTCTCCAAGTTAGAGATCCTACAGACAAGTTTCCTTCTATTCACTAAATATGGATTCTCTGGAATCTAAGGATTTCTTCAGAATCAGAAGTTCATTAAATCGGATCGATTACTCATTAAAAAAACAGCGCTTCAACATTTCATTACAGTCAGCACTGATTTTCTGGGTCAGAGAAGAACACTAGAAGAACCTACAGGTAGTGTTACTTCTGAAGAGCTCAAAATCTGATTCAGCCTCAGCAGCGAACAAGAGTTCCATCTCACACCTTTAACAGTAATAGCTACCACCACCTGTTGCTCAGTATATAGTAAGCACTGTACCAGGCACTCAACATACATCGTCTCATTTAATCCTTTCAACAACCTCTAAGCTAGGAAGCTGGAAAGGATAAGCAGTTAACTAACAAACAAGGGGAACTCTTGGAAATTTCAACCTTCCCTATCATATCAGAACAACCCGACTGCCAAAGAAAGGGAATGTGATAGGAAACAGTGAGGCCGGAGCCGACCATACAGGTCCCAAACTGCATAGATCCCTCTGCTTTCCTTCTTCCCCACTGCCTCTCTTGTGGTCATTTCCCTACTTGTCAGAACCTCCATCAGACCACAAGAGAGAAAATAAACAGAAAGTGAAACCAAATGTTACTTTTACCATTCATAAACTGCAACAGCCCAGCTAGGAAAATGAGGCTGAACTTACAGCCAATGGGAGATTTGGGGTGACTAGTTAATCTTAGCCTTGAGGAGGAGTCTTGTCAATTCTTTGGTCAGTCCCTCTAATTACATGCAGGACTGATCAATGGGGCTTTAAACACAATGTGGGGCAGTAGGGAGAAAAAATGCCCAGAAAAATGCTGTAAAACCAATTACTATGGAGGGCAGCAGATATAGGACTTAGAAAGAACAATAATGATGCTGAAACTGCCCAGCGATTCACTAGAGAAAATAACTGGGACAGGCATCAGGAAGCACTACTTAAGGCTTCAGATGCTGACATATACATATGGGTCAAGGGTAATGAAGTGAAAACTGAGATTATAATACTGAGTGGTGGATATAGTATCAGAGGAATTAGCTATAAGATTATAGTTAGTGGGCTGGGAATTCAAGACAGGTGGGGGCAAGTTACGTGCTTTCTTTATTTATATTTCACATAGTATTCTTAGGAGGAGAGGCAGAGTAGCACTACTAGCCAAGAAAACATATATCTATGTGGAAAGTCATGAGTCTGGGGTAGAAACATGCTAAGAGCTTGTGAGTGAAGGAGAAAGAGCAATAGAAGTGCTAATGGTTGGGGAGTACAGAACGACGGCTCAGCTCGATGGAAGATATAGATGATGCATCCTTGTCACAACACAATACACAGACAGAAGCAAGAAAGTATGGTGATGGGGGTGTCAACCATCCAGATATCTGCTAGAAGAAGTCTCATTTGGTTAGAAGTAGGGCACCCGACAGGTTCTTGACTTACTTTGGTAACAATTTTATCTCCCAGATGGTAGAGGAAGCAATTAGGGGAACTTCAACTCTGGACCTAATTCTGACCAAGAAGAAAAAAATAGTTGGTGAAATGAAAATTGATAGGAACATTCAGAGAGAGTTACTATGTCATTTTGGATTCAGGATAATCAGAGAGGGTAATGTGGACTTCAAAAACTTCAAAGAAAAGAGGTATGAATCAATGGCATGAGACTCTGAAGGAAAAAAATGGTTTAAGAGGGTCGGGCAGCTTCCAAATGTCCAACTATCACCATAGTCACAAATGAGCCTCTCAGGAAGAAAAGAGGGGTGACAATTAAGTAACCAATATGGCTGCACAGAGATCTCTCACAAGGTCAGATTCTTAAAGGACATGTAAAAAAAGATGGAAAGAGGGCATGTAATGAAGGACTACAAGAGAGTGGAATGAGCTAATAAGAATAATGTCAGGAGAGCTAAAATTCCAAATTAGCTGAAGCTTGCAAAGCAAAATAAAGACACAACAAAATGCTAAAGACAACCATCTATTCCCTGTTTTTAAATTACTTTTAAAGCCCTATTACCACCCCCATTTCTCTACAACCATCGCAAAAATAAATAAGCAAAAAAGACAAACAACACAACAACCACATGAAAACAAGAAAAGTTTGTAGTTAGTAACAGCAGATAATAAAGAGAAAGCAAAACTCCGTAACTCCTATTTTTTTCCTGGCTTCTCTATCAAGGAGCATGATTGTCGGGCTGAAAAAGGGAGAAGAAATTAAACTCTAACATGGGTAAAAAGATGTAAGATAGCAAATAACTGAACTATCCTAAATGAATTACTGTACTGGGATAGGCAAATCCCAGGAAGCCAACCAGACCCCACAGGCAGGGAAGTGCTCTCTGTGGATAGTTAAGGAATCACAAAGAATGGACAGGTGCTAGAAGATGAGATGACAAATGCAGTAAAAATGTTCAAAAAGGGAAGAAGGCAGACTTCCCAAACTACAGAACAGTGATTTGTAAAGATATTCTAATGGATTATTAAAGGGATGGTCTCCAAGCAGTTTTAAAAGAAAGTAGTGAAAATAGAAGCTAGCTTTAATTCACTAAGAATAAATAAATCAGGTTGTGCTAGCTTAATTTACTTTAAAGAATTTACTACACAATAAAGATCCATAGCTACAACTGGCATTCTTAAGATCAAAATGCAGAAATATGAGCTGAGTCACAGTGTAACTTGGGTGGCTTAGTAATTGGTTGAACAATACCAAGGGATGATGAGTCATGAAGACATGAACCTGGAGGATAGTCTGTATATGTCATGTCACCGGGTTCTGTCCCTGATCCTGACATTTTTATCAGAAACATGGATGACACACAGAAGGCAGGCATATCAAATTTGTAGATGACAAGAAACTGGAAAATAAATACGTTGTATGACAGAAGCAGAAACCAAATAGATCAACAGGTTACAATGGCAGGATTTCCAACTCTCAAGTGAATCTTTTTTTCTAAGACCTCCAGTGAAGATTCTGTAACCTTCTTCAAAAAAATCATAAAATAGTTTAACAATGACCACTTGGAAGGGAGAGTGTCGAGGTGATTCAAACACCAGATGGGTGGTTGAGCTAAATGACCTTTAAGGCCTCTGCCAACCCTGAGATTTTATGACTCCAATTTTAAGAATCTTTCCCATTTTCTGAGATCTCCAGAAGATATTTCCCAGCCTTCCTTGGTAACCCACAGCATGTTTGACAACACTAACGACAGCATTTCGTCTTATCTTTGTCTTGATCTTGAAATACTTTTAAAGTGCAATTTTTTTCACCTTATGTTTTTGTTCTCTTTTCCCCACTAGCAGAAGCTCTACCTAAAAAATATGATGGCAGAGATGAGCATTCTACATCTGAAAAAAATCTCCCTGTCAATATGTTTTAGATATGTAAAGAACTGTATTTATTTTATGTCCTTACAATATCCCACCGGTAGTCCTTAAAAGGGCTTGGAAGCCTTGGAATAGCCCTTGGAAGCTATTTAAGTTAGGGTCATAGCAAAACCACTGAATTGCTCTCTAAGATGACTAAAACCACCATCACATGGATGTCCTTCACAAAAAAAATTTTTGACAAATTAATAACTCCCAAAACAATCCTCAAGTTCAAATGCATAATTTAACTTAAGTATTCTATTAATGGCAACTGAATACATTCAGCAAAGGATGAGATTTCCTTTTTAAAAGCAAGATTTTCCCCCACTTACTCATTTATCTCTAAGGCTTCATGAGCTGCAGAAATTCTAGCTTGGGGGTTTCTTTCTCTCCAGGCTTTCTGCATTACTATTTTAGAAAAAGAGAAAAAAGCAAGTCCATCAATACACATAATTTGGAAGACTCAACATGGGACAACAGTTAAATTAATAGCTTTCAGCTTGAATACAAGACAGTATTTCACTTACCAAAAAAGTCAGCCCAAATCTCCAAAGTCACACAAATATTCTAATTTGCTATTCCACTGCCCTTCAGGAGATGATATAAAACCTTTCTTGAGCTCATAAAATTACAGATCTAAATCTTATAGACTAACCCATGGTCTATAATTTTAGAGACTTAATCTTGATCAAGATTTTTTTTTTTTTTACTGAAGTATTAGTTGATATACAATGTTACAGGAATTTCAAGTGTATAACATGGTGATTCTCCAAGTCTACATGTTATGCTATGCTCACCATACTGACTAAGGTTTCTTAAGGATAAGACATTCTAAAAGAGATTTAATATTTCTTTTGCTCATCCGTGTCATTTGTTGTTAAGAAACATATATTATTTTACCCCTTTTGAGATGAGAGTGCTACTAATCTCTTCCTTCTACTTAGACAAAACATAATTTCTATTGATCATTTTCCTGAACGCTACAGGCTCTGGGTATTAGGACATTTTAAAACCATGTGAAGAGGGTGCCTGGGTGGCTCAGTTGGTTAAGCAACTGCCTTCGGCTCAGGTCATGATCCGGGAGTCCCGGGATCGAGTCTCGCATCAGGCTCCCTACTCAGCAGGAAGTCTGCTTCTCCCTCTGACCCTCCCCCCTCTCATGCTCTATCTCATCCTCTCTCTCAAATAAATAAATAAAATCTTTAAATAAATAAATAAATAAAACCATTTGAAGAATTAGGAGTTGGATCAGGGAAAAAAAAAAAAGTGCTTTAGCCTTTTATTTAACATGTCTATCTGTTCCCAAAGTTTGCTGCAAACACAGTTTTCATATACCAGAGCAGTTTTTATATATATTGTGGAAAGCTCAATGCCTGGAATATTTATGTTCCACCATGGCAAGGAGTAACTTTAAAAAAAGAGCAACAATCTCCATATTTGTTTTATAAATATGTATATTCTAAGTTAGTTTCTTAGGTGCATGTACATATTCCCCTTTTTAAAGATTTTTTTTTACCTATTTAATTTTGGTAATATAAACAGTATCAGTGGAATTATTTGGACCTCAAACAATGTGAAATGCATGCCAAACAAAGCCTTTACTAGGATGGAAAACAAATATGGATTCTAATAGCTAAAGCCATGCCCCCATTCAGTGATAGTGAACCTATAAATAGGCATACAAATCATTACAATATATTCATTTATCATTTGGATTCACTGAATCCCCAATTTCTAGTTATAATATCATCAAAGAGACATGACCCTTCATCCTACCTCAACCAAGGATTTAGTTAGCCTTATATAAGATTTATATTTCTTTAAAATATGTAAATCCAATGTCAGTATATTTTTCTAAAGGGTATTTTAAATTATAACAAGCTCTACATTGATACTTCATTGTGATAAATCCTTTATTTAAGTATCAGAATTCTGGGTTCCACTAGTCAATCTTCAATTTAATATTTTATATATTGGGGTTTTTGTAGAGCAGATATTCTAAAAGGAGTAACCTTAAGTACTTAAACCAAAAAGCCATTCCATTCAGCAACTATCTAAAAGATTGTCCAGGGGCGCCTGGGTGGCTCAGTCGTTAAGCATCTGCCTTTGGCTCAGGCCATGATCCCAGGATCCTGGGATCAAGCCCCGCTTCGGGCTCCCTGCTTGGCCATAGGCCTGCTTCTCCCTCTCCTACTCCCCCTGCTTGCATTCCCTCTCTTGCTGTGCTTCTCTCTCTGTCAAATAAATAAATAAACTATTTTAAAAAATTAAAAATAAAAAAATAATAAAAGATTGTCCATACTTGCATCTGCAGGACGGAGGTGGTCTGAGTCACAAGTAAAGAATGTCTGGTGGTCTTGGGCAGAGAGATTCATGTCATAGTAAGTCAAAGGCTCTCGTCCTGTCACCCAAGTATACCTGGTAAAGGGGAAATAGATGGTCAGACACTTTGAGAGAAGAAAGCAAGACCTACAAAATATTAAGCTGCATAGGAGTTGAACTAGAAAAACATTAACTAGAATATTAAAACAGCTTTGCCAATGAATGAAAAAAAAATTTTTAATCATCCTGTTCTCCCTTTAGGAAGTATATCAGCAGGAAAGAAGTAAACATTTTCCTCTATATTTTTGTCTAAAAATTTTACTAGCACTAGCTAATGAAAACTTTCCCTAGTTATATCATGAATAGACATTTTTCAAAAGCCATGAAAATTCTGATACGCCTAATTACTCTGCAAAATTAAATTCCAACATAACTTCTGTGACATCTTCATAACCATGTTCTAGGTAAACTTCAAAATATTTTGATTGTATAATGCATAATGAAATGAATAACTGCAATAGAAAATTTCTAAAAACTACACATCTTTATATGTTATCCCAATTCCAATCCCAAAAATATTTATAAAACAGAAAAATCAAAACATTTGAGGATTGTATCAAAAAATAGAAGCACTATCCAGGCTGTAACAATGACCCCTAAATGAACCAGCAAAAGCATTTGCTGCTGTCTACTCTCTGAACTAGACCCATTTGTTTCCCAACCTGTCAAAACGCTTACCGATTATATTCAGCACCCCTAAATAAATTTAGTGGATTTCGCCATACTTTGCATTCTGCAACAAAGAGAAATATGAAAATGTTACACATAGTCCAGAGACATTACAAGCTAATTAATTCAGCAAACCACCCTTCCTGGCCATTTGATAAGATAATTTTATTCTCTATCCTCCACATGGGAAGCAATATGCAAAAACTCTGAGTGGCTAAATCAGGAAACATAGCTCAGGCACCAGGACTTTGGAAAGTTTCTCCTAATCTTTCTGGGCCTAAGTTTCCTCATTTGCTAAATTAAGGTATAAGCCAAAATCAGCTAATTCATAACCTCAGTAGTCATCAAGAGGTCTAAACAAATTCTATGAATTTACTTCTAAAATTACAGGTAGAAGGTATAGGTAGAAGTAAAACTACTTTCTATTACTCCAAAATATATCTTAAAATAACTCCTAAATAAGCCTAACTTAAGCTCTAGAGTATAATATGCAAGATTTTTATTTAGGGTCTTTGTTAATACTGATCTTGTAATAATTCACCAGATTGTTTTTTACATTGCCATAAAGTAGTAATTAGAAAATTAATAAAGGTATTATTTTAGGGAGAAATGCTATGAAACTGTAAGCATTAACACTATTTGCTTATATAGATACATGTATTAACCATTATACTAATATTACAATTCTAGCATGTACTAATAGATTATACATCTTTCTTATACAAAGACTGCAGAAATTTAGAACCACAGGACTTAGAAAAGTCAATCATTAATTTTTAAGACTATCTTATAAGTGTGTAGCTAATAAGCTACAATTCTTTTTAAACAGCCTATGATTAAGGCTTTCTACTGATTCAGAATACATTTCTTTGAATGAATAATGTTTTATTAGAAAATAAAATCAGTTAACAGTACTTAAAATATCTGTGTGTGTGTAGTCCACCAAAAAACACACCCAAAGACATATATATACAAAAGTGAACGATTATTGCAGAAATCAAAAGAACATTAAAGGCCATGAGTGATTCATTAAGATTCTCAGTCCTATTATATGCAACATCCAGCCTTCCACCCAGCCACCCATCCATCCATCCATCCATCCAATGAGCACTCAGCACTCAATGGGGAAAACAAACAAGCAAAGCACTATTACAATACAGCATGAAAATGAAGAACATAAAACACTATAGAAACACTGTGTGTAATCTCAATACATTCTTGTTAAAATAGTGAACGAAGGGTATACATATAACAGGAAGACATGTTTTCATTTGAAGAAGATAAATTTATCTTTAAATTAGGACTGGAGCTCGTCTAAAATTTGCTCAATGTTTATAAATAATGGCAGTAAATTTTCTGACACTTAGCTTAACTCGACATTTAGGAAATGATCTTTGCTCACTTAGTTCAGCATCTTTGAATTTTGTTCCTGAGAAACTGAAATTCAATGGCTGTCACTTCATATGGTACTAACTAGAAAATTATGCTTTTCTTAAATAATTACTCTTTTTCCAGATGTAAAGGCCCTTAGAGGGGTCACTAATGAACTCGATCAGAGCTCATGGCTTGAATCACACCAGTGAGCTAAACAACCATCATTCCCACCATCTCCTCAGAGGTTGTCTTTTAAGATCCAAAGTGCTCTTCTTAAAGCATTATGGATATTGCAAGGTCAGAATTTAGCATATAACAAACATGCACACATATTTATGTACAAAGGATGCTCGTAGTGGAATTATCTGCAAGAAAATGGAAGCATTTGGGGAGATGCCTCTGCCCCACTGAATTTCATCTGAAATATTAGTAAAAAGGTTATGGCAAATAATTTGTCTCCAGTGAATACATTATTCTATTTGCCTCGAAGGACAAGCACTGTTCAAATATCAATTGACAAACTATAAAGCAAAATGTCTTCAACTAATATTTCAATTCTATTATATGTTGGATACAAATGAAATTATTTCTAAATAAAAATGACTGCAAGAGAGATGGTGTATATACCTAAAGTATTTTTGAGCAGTATCTAAAGATGCGATATTCCTTTAGGAAGTGCCACAATATAGCCAGCAGGGGGTGCCGCAAACATTTTGAAATGTTTTTACGGCTTGTAACAGAAAACTGAACTTTTAAAAAAGTCACTGCTAATATTAGTGTCATACATGTGGTCTGTATTCAGTTTCTTTAACTATCTCTGAAACTTAGAAATGAGGATCTAAGTAACTTTAACAGATGTAAAATATTCTGAATGAGAAAAAATATGTGACACAGAACTATATAAGAAATGTTTTCATTAGCTGTATCCTTCAAACTGGTGCAAAACAGGAATAATTTTTTTAAAGAAATAAGCAACTAGAGGTCGAATATGAACACATCAAAGTTTTACCTCAAATTAGGTCACAGCTATGTTAAATTTCTTCTTTGCTACTCTGTTTCATAATCTTACCACTACTACAAAAACTCAGTCTGGAATTACTCTAGAGTACATAACCCATAAATATCAGACTGCCTGATGGTTTCGTGATATGGACAGAGGCTGTAAATGCCAAATGTATTAGAATGTGAAGATTTAAGTCAAGAAGTTCAACTCAGATATCCAGAGGGTAAAAGTTTTTCCACATGAGGTCCAGTTTCTTACCTTATTCATGTCTTTGAGGAATAAATTCTTTAAGTCAGAATTAAAATTTTACTTCCAAAAGGAAATTTGCATTCTCCATTAATATCAACAATTTCAGTGCCCTTTAGAAGACCTAAAAGTTGACAGGGACTCCATCAAGGGCTTGCTGACATTAATAGTCCAATTAAAAACATGCCCCAATACAACAAACATACTGTCTATGGTTCCATCTGTAGCAGCCCACAGAAGAGTCTCAATCTACAAATCCTGACAGACGTATTCAGACCTCAGCATGCATGAAGGAATGTAGTTCAAGAGGAAGAGAAGCAATAAATATTGGAATAGTACTTGTTTAGTTCCCCAAGTCTGCAGAACAGATTTCCCCCTTTGTGATAACAGGATGATTATAAGTTTTTATGTGGGAGACAAAGAAAATAAAAAAAAAAAATCATTCTTACTGCCACCAAGGACTTCTAAAATCAAGCACCAATCTTGTCTTCAGCCTTCCCTCTCACCATTCCCTACTAAAACTTGCCATCCCAGTGACAGTTATATCATGCCTTTTGTACTCAGTCACTCCTCTAGAATCCCCACCCCACCACTCACAGGACTGTGTGGTTTAAACATATATAGAATGGCTATTTTGCATTAGTCTGAGGCTGGACCCTGGGTAATAAAATTAAATTAAATTTAAAAAATTAAATTAAAAAAAAAAAGAGGAGCTTACAGCCTTGGTAGAAAAATAGAAAGGGCATCCAGCTGAAGAAGCTCTACAGAAGGAATAATGCAGACAGAACCACAGACTTTCCCTTTGTCACAGTCCTCAAAGAAAAAGAGAACTTAATTCTCAGAAAAACCAAGAGGCTCCGAAGTCACAGAGCTTTTATTCACATAAGAAAATATTATTCTCTACATCCAATTCATTTAACTCTGAGAACCTCTCGTCCCAAAAATTAAAAAAAAAAAAGATATAAAATCTTCACTTCTAGGGCCTTCAAATATATAAATTATTAATTCATAGCCTAGGAAGATTTGTTTTACTAAAAAGTTACCACCTCTTCCCAGAATCTAAAATCTAATAATGATGGTAATATTATTATTACAAATAGCAGCAATAGGAACCTTTGTCCTAGTTAACAACCTGATTTTCATGGAGCCTTTCTAGAAGAAGTTTTAAAGCTCAAGTCATCTATATTTCTTACATACACTAATAAGGGGCCTATAGTAGGCCCTTTCTACAGAAGAGTAAAGCATAGAAAAGCTGTGTAATTTCCCCACAGTTCATAGTAAATGAGATTAAGGGCTGGTGTCCGGACTAACCAACAACCACCCACTGTATGCAACAGACCCATTATCCTGCAACATCATATTTCAAAAATCCTATGACTTCATCGATTAAATTTTCCACTAGAAAAACAGTTTCAAAAACTCCTCTGGGGAAATGTTAGGCACTTTTAAACAATACTTTTAAACATTTTGGTTCCAAAGTACAACAGAAAAGGGCCCTAGATAAAGTTTCATCAGATGTATTATGACAATCAAGATTAACCCCACTGTCAGTCAATGTCTGACACATGATTCTGCCATATATTTATTAGCTTTGATATCTCACAAATGAATACCCAATTCTCTATTTCATACAAGTTATTCTTAATCATTAAGAGTAACACTATCCATTTTCTTAAGTAATTAGGCTTTAGTTGTTTTCATAACCTTTGAAATAATTCTTTTGGAAGTTTAATAAGTAGTAGTAAAAGCACAAAGTAACATGTAGGTAGCCTTCAACTCAACAAATATGTTATTCCCTCAAATTCTACAGAATGAGACTAGGTATAAAAAATGATGAGTTTCAAGACCATTTTTATTGATCTGCTCTATTCAAGAGAGTGTACTACTCCAAGTATTGCTGAGATGATTAAATCTTTATTGTATCTCTCATACATTTCTCATTATTTCTGACCTAAGTCAATCAACTCAACCAAATAATGTGGAAATTGTGAAATAAGTTTATTAAATAAATGTTCACCAGGGACTAAAACTGTTTTAGGCATTTTCACCATTCAACTGGAGATCAAATCTATACTAAAACATAAATTTTAGTAGCAAAAGATTTTAAAAGATGTAATAAGCATTGGCTAAAAGAATCACTTCAACACATATAGATGTGGCAACGACAACTGAGTTCCCCTAATTGAGATGATTAAAGAGCAACCCCAAAAGTCCTGGACATGTAGCAATTTGCAATTTTGCCAAGGAATATATTTGAAATGCAAGCACTGAAAGGACTGGGCATAAAAGTGAGTCACTGAGTTGATGAGTAAACCTCATTGAACCCACAGCCATAACTCCATGGGGCTGGTCCCCATCATATTCATAAAGAAGTCAGTTCATCTGGAGGACACTGCCTGATGGTTGTCCTCTGACTTGCTATTTCTGAATGACCTCATTTATTCCTCAAAGTACTCTGTGAAGCAGATACTGTTGTTACTACCATGTATGCAAATTAAGATACAAAGGAAGGTTAAGTGACTCACCCAAGGTCACACACTGTAAGCGATGGAGCCAAGATTAGGGCAACATCTGTCTGACCCCAGAGCCTGAGCTCTCAACCATCAGCAATCCTACCAGTGAGCCGTTTCTAAGTAAGTTTGGTTAATGTCACTTCTGAAGTAATGATGTCATGTATGGTAGTACAGGTTTTTAATGAAATTATTTACTTTAGCAGTTTAGTAATTACATTAGTACTGAGTTTATAGACCTCACAGAGGATCTAGACTAAATTTTTTAGTTGAGGCTTGAGACTTTGGACTCCAAAGCAAGACCACCTAGGTTGTTACCAGCCATATGACCTTGGACTGACCTTGGGCAGATGACTTAACTTGCCTGTACCTCAGTTTCATCAACCATATAACAGAGACAATAACACTACCTGCTTCTTATATATATACTCATATATACTATGTACATATATAAGATATATATTAAGATTAAATGAGACTAAAATGAAATTATTTGAAACAGGAAGAGAAGCAACCATAAGCAGAGTTTATCTAAAGATCCAGTTCTATGGTATCTCAGAGAATTTAAACTTGACTTTGACAAGGATACTTTTCATGTGATGAAGCACCCTGTACTTTTCCAAATATCTTGAAGATGAATGCTACCAACCTTTGTCTTTATGACACCTTACTCAAGAACAGGACAAATTATCAAACGGATGTTCCCATGAACCCAAATTCGAAATATTACTGGTCCCTGAGAATCCCCTCCCTTCAGACAGGGAGAAGTTGGCCACATTTTAAATCCCTATACATCATCAGCTCAAAAGCTGAGTTGAATTAAGAAATGGCAGTGAGAACATGGTGACATAGCAAATACATGAGCAGGGTTTATGACGAAAAATGGCAGGTTAGCTCCCAAAAAAAGCAAAACGAGTAAAATGCTCATAAATGTTAACCTAAGCCAAACCATCTAAAATTTGGCTAGCTTAAGAAGCTTTATAGTTAGCTACATTTCTTCTCTGATCCACAGATCAACATTACTACAGATTTTAAAAGAGTCTGCACTCAGTCCAATTTGTACAGAAACAAAAGTTAAAGAAGGTATGGACAGCCCACCCTGTAACAATCACAATCCTCCCACTCCCCATTCCCCTACCCCAAATCATTCTTTTTTTATATATATACATTTTTTTAAAGATTTTATTTATTTATTTGACAGAGAGAGACATAGCGAGAAAGGGGAACACAAGCAGAGGGAGTGGGAGAGGGAGAAGCAGGCTTCCCACTGAGCAGCGAGCCCGATGCGGGGCTCGATCCCAGGACCCTGGGATCATGACCTGAGCCAAAGGCAGATGCTTAACGACTGAGCCACCCAGGTGCCCCACCCCAAATCATTCTTAAGTAGGCCAGGTCTTTCAGCTCTTAATCAAAAGATATGATTCCTTAAGAAAAGAGCTACACTATCAGTTTTCATATAGATCAATGTTTGTAACTGGTATTTTCAGGGGTTTTTTGAAGCTTTTTCAATGATTTTTCTCAAATAAGCAATTAAACCGCCTTTGCCAATATCTGTGGGACTTTGTTAGCCATGTTGTATTTCATGTAAGTTTCACCAAAGAGCTGTCTTGTCATTCTCCAAGAAAATCAAAAGATTCACCCTTTTGTTATTAAGGCAACAGCCATTTTAATATTATTAAGGGAATAGGAATTGTTAAACAAATTCCTCTATTTTAAGAAATGTATTATTAATTACCCTCACAGCTTTAGACTTTCTTTTTCCTTTACTTAGTTGAAACCAGACTATTTAATAGAAAGTGATTAAGAGTAGAGATAAAAGACAATGTACTTTAATAATATTTTTCTTATTCAAAAATAAAAATCACTACAGGAAAAGAGAAGTGGAAAATAGTATTAGTCCCACTGTTATCTGGTACTTTCATACTGGCATACATGTTTGTTGAGCTGAGTTAGCCCAATTTTAGAAACCCAACTGTCAAGGAGAAGAGGGCAGACTGAGCCCTAAATATACTTAGATAAGGTAATTTCCCCTTTGCTAAATGTAACTATTTGAACATTGTTATGAGATCAGATCATAAATGCTGTATCTATTACATAGGAAATGAATAGAAATATTGCATGCATAGTAGTAGACATTCAGCAAATACTAGTGGAACTGAATTAATAATGATATTCAAAAACTCATTCTTAGCCAGGTGAAAACTCAGTACAAATAAAACTGGGAATTTCCATGATTATTATTTTTTAATATATTTTTATAAAGGGTTTAGGTCCTCCCTTTTAAAACTGCCATAAAAGCACTAAGAATAGCACCAAGATTTATATAATGCATAAGGTGTACTTCAAGGTAGCCATAAAGAGAGACAGCAAAATAATAGTGACAGTAAGAAGAATTCTTCACTGCATTAAGGAATGATGTCAAGAAATTTAAACTGGGTAGAGAGAGAATTTTAATGCAAATAAAAATGTACTCACAATGAAGAATGGCTTTAAATAAGGCTGCTTTCCATTTCTAATCTGTTATTCCTACAATGTTTTACACCATCCAAAGACTATAGTAACTCTAATCGGAAAAGAGGTCTTCACAGCAGATGCAAAGTGAGGGCAGTTATCGACAATGTCTTATATGACGATGGCTGAATGATCAAGACCCCCCGTTAGAATAATGTGCTACACTTGTCAGAATAGTGGTTAATGTTTCACTTTGCTCAACTCTCTGTTTCTTTCACAAAATGGGTAAGTTTTCAAAGTCCCAGACAATTCTGTTACCTGAATGGTGCCATCTCTGGTACCCTTTAGGATGAAAAAAAAAATGTGTACCCGGTGGTGCCCCCTGCCACTCACAGATGGCTGGCAAAGGGTCTATTGAAAGGGCACAAGATTAGCAACAGGAATAAAATATATGTGCAATGCTCCTTGATGCTTATCACCTGGCGAAACAGTTATGAAAAGTAGACTGAGTTATTCTAGGAGAAAGAAAAAAAAAAAATCTAATCTAGTTCCTTAATTTCTTCCTTTTCATCCTTCAAGTATCAGAACTAGTACCCTCCCATTCAAGAAGCAAACTTCTTCCTCCAGTTTGGGTCAGGAACCCCTCCTTTGTTTTCCATAGCACTGTGTGTTCCCTCATGTAATCACAGCACTCACCACTGTGTCTCCTTCAGTAGACATGAGAGTTCCATGAGGACAAGGACTTTGGCTTTTTTTTCCAATCATAATATTCATAAGAACCTGTATAAGGCCAGGTTCATATTAGTGACTTAGGAAATGTTTAATGAGCTGATAAAGAGACCAAGCTAAGAGACCATATTCTTCCCTCTTCTTTTATGAATGGAGAAATTACAGGCCTTGCATGCACTTATTTGTTCATTCACTGAGTTTCAATGATGGAGCAGACACTGTGCAAAATGCTAGAAATACTGCAATAAAGCAGCCTGCTTAAACATTACAGTGCAATTTGATAAATGTTGCTAAAGATAGAAATGTTACAAGTCAACAAAGGTGGAGAGATATTGTACAACCTATCGGAGAAGGCTTCCCAGGAAGTAACCCTGGAGCTGGGTTACAAAAGACGGGCAAACACACGAGAGAGGGAGACAGACTTCTAGGAAAAGGGCCTTGAGAAAACATGGCATGTTCTAGAAATGAAAAGGAAAGGGACAGGATTGTGACTAAAGTCAAAGCTGCCAAGAAAGGTGAAAGCAGCTTATGCTATGCTAAGGAATCTGGGCTTTATCTTCAGTGGAATGGAAACCAAGGCAGCCTTGTAAGCAAAGGAGAGATGTGATCACATCTAGTTAGACAGAAGGTTCTGCAGTTAGCATGGAAGAGAATGGACACATTCAATAAAGTTCGAGAAACTAGGGACAAGGAGCCCAGAGACTCAGGCTGGGAATACCGACCTATATAAATGATCCTTAGCTAAACCAAATTGGAGAAAAAGTAAAATAAATATTTCCTTTCCTTGTGATGCTTATATTCTATTTCCCTGGTAGAAGCTGTCAACACCTTAGGAAAATAAACTGCATTTTTCTCCGGAGACTAATATTTAAATAACAACATTATTACTGCGTTATAGTCATAATAATTTAGTAAAAATAAGCAAATCATGTTCAAGCTGAAGGACTTTCCATACCTGAGACACTTTGCCTGTTGGAATCTGAGTCCCCATTGCTGGAGTTAGAATTGTTGGAGGAGTTGTTGTCAACCCCTCCCAGGAGGGGGCGCAAGTGGCTTACTGAGACTTGTTCAATGAATGATGTCCCATACTTGCGAAAATACCACCATTCAAATATCTAGAATAGAAAAATTTTAAGAGTGATTATGGTCCTTGTTACTGTTCGTGATTTTGTACACATGCCCATGAAATATGCTGCATCTACTAATTACATCTACCTTAAATACTTAATTTTTACTCCAAAAATTTTGCTTTATTCTAAAAATCAAAGAGTTTAATAAAATTAAAATACCAATTACTCTTTAAATTCTCAATGTAGTTCCCTCCACTTAATACTAGTTGTCAAAGAAAATCCACAACTACAATCATGGATAAAAGAACACTGTTAAGAGCTGCTCAATATTATTTTCCTCCAAATTTACATAATATTCTAACAAAATCACCATGGCTGAAAGACAACTCCAGAAATGTATACAAATAAGCAAGTTTTAGAAGTATGGCTTATGAAATATTCCAATTCTTGGCACCTTACATTCTGATAAAGCCATATCTGCATAAAATTTTTAAGATAGCAAAATTTTATTTTTATTTTAAAAACAAGCATTTCCTTAGAGAAATGCTGGTTTTACAGAAAGAATGAAAGGCATCCCATTTCTTGTATGGATGGTACTCCACTACTGAGAGACTTAGCAATGTCCCACCTGCTAAGAAGTGCTTTATAAACATAAGCATCTGTTGAACACCATTAAGGTTTCCTAGTTCACCAGCTTACCAATTATTATATACCATGCATTGCCAAGGAGAAAAGAGATAATTTTCATTAATAAAAGGAAAGAAGCAATAACACTCATATGACTAGGCTGCAATCATGACTTCTAAGCACTGGGAAAGCAAGCGACCTTCCCCAAGCCTGCTTCCCTGGCCCCTTGGTCCCTCCAGCGAACACTTTCCTACCACTGTTCAAAGCTGCTCTCTTCCACATTCTTTCTTCTCCTCCCTGCCTGATTTGGGATTTGTTCCTTAAGCAGCCACAAATCATCACACAGAAGAAATTTAAAAATCAACTATATCCCAGAGTCTCATAGGATTAACTATACCATATTTTTATAATATAATACAGAATGTGGAACTAACATAGAATTAATTACCTTTATGCTTACAAAAAAACAAGATTTTGTTACCTACTCTGGCAGGGACTTCGGGCTATTATTTAAAAATCAATGTTCTCTCTCTTCTGCTCTACCAAAAAAACAAAAAAAAACAACACACCTTTTTTTAAGACAAAAGGAACATCTATGAATGACCAGAAGGAGGCATCAATTAAACCAAATGTTTCCAATTCTATGACAACTTTAACTTAATTCCAAAAAGTTACCCCTCTGACTATATGAATTTTCATGTGTTAAGACATTCAAGTAACTTCACTGGGCAGACAGGGAAGAGAATCTGATATGAAAGCTAAAAAGGGACAGAACTAGTCTATAACATTTGGAATGCTAGGAATAAGGGATCTTGCTTGAAGAACAAAGCTCAAGAATGATAAATTTACAAACCATGAATCCAAGGAGTCTGTAACCTCAGGCAAGTTATTTCACCTATTTGAACATCAGTTTCTTCAGTTCTAAACTGGAAATCATATTCATTCTTTATCCTCAAGGGTCCTCCATTTTCACAGCCATGTAAAACACCTAGTTTCAATCCCCATGTAAAATCCCCAGTTCAATGCCCATTACATGTTTTGTTCTCAAAAGTAATAGCAGAGCTACCATTTATTGGTATATATACCTCTCCTGCACAGGACCTGACATCACATCACCTGACATACTGATGCACTCCACTCTCACTAGTCTATGATTCAGGCCAGTACAGCATCTTCTTGTCTGTTACTAAGTTGTAGGCTGAACGCCAAGAAATCATTGTGAAAAAGGGTACTGCTCACCATTCAGTTCTGCCCACCCAACAAAGCCCTTAAGAGATCCGTGGCTTCGCCTTTATTAGAAGAGAAGGAGGCTCCAAGAAACCCAAGAACACTGGGCACAGAACTGGCAATGGCTCTCAATCACTGTGGCGGAGAGCTTTTGTTGCCCTAAGCCTTTGCTCGGCTTTCTATATTATGCTGCTGGGCACCTGCCAGGCCTTCGTTCATTCACTCACAGTCACATACAGGAAGTGCTCCACACCAGTCAAGAGCTGTGCTCCAGGGTTATATAATGCACATGTGGCCCCTGATACCACCAGTCCATGCCACAGACCACAGCGCCTCTCACAGGTTGCTCTTGACGTAGCCTATACCCATCACAACACACACACACACACACACACTTTGGAACTCCAGATTTCTCAGTTTCTCCAGAAGAATCACAGAATGTCAGTACTAAAAGGGACCTTAAAGGACCATGCACTAACTCCATTTAAGAATGAGGAATGGGGGCGCCTGGGTGGCTCAGTTAAGCATCCGGCTTTCAGCTCCGGTCATGATCCCAGGGTTCTGGGATCAAGCCCCCGCATCGGGCTCCCTGCTCAGTGGGAAGCCTGCTTCCCCCTCTCCCACTCCCCCTGCTTGTGTTCCCTCTCTCGCTGTGTCTCTCTCTGTCAAATAAATAAATAAAATCTTAAAAAAAAATAAAGAATGAGGAATGACCAAAGTCACACAGCAAATTAAGTAGCTGCTGAGCCTAAAGCCACAGTTCTGTGCCACTAATCTCACCAGGGCTCTATAAGAAGACATCTTTTTGTAACTCTGTTGCGCATTGAAACACAGACAGATGTAGCCTATCATTTCCCCTTTCAAATCTTTATTTCCTAGTGCCTTCTGATGACTCCACTGTCCCTTTGCTTTCTCAGCTATCCAAACCAATCCAGAAGTAGTCGCTCAAGTGGGACTGGATAATTCATTCTAAATGATTCATATTAATGAGGTATTTGCATTATAATAGGAGACAGACCTTCCACCCAGTATTTCTAACGCAGGATTAACAGATCTCAGTAAAGACTGGGTTATTCATGCAGCTATTTGGGGGGGTCGGGGAGGGTCTTCTCAGGCCTGTCTTTTTCACAGCAGTAGATGGGGCTTCTTATCTATCATGGTCCTTCTTTGTACTATACGAATGTTCCCATAGGGTACTGGGGACTCTAATACGTGTTGAAGGAGCAACTAGCAAAAGAAAGTAGGAAAGGACTTGAAGCCCTCTTAAACCTCAAACTAAGTCTTCTAATTTGGGGTTAGCAAAATAATTTGCCCCTTACCCCAAAACATGACAGGCTTTGGGCCAGCACCTCACAGGATTTTTAAATATCTGCACAGATCCAAGTGGGCAGATGGTGTTATTTAACACACACATATTTGGTGTCACTTTGAATTCTTCTCCCTGGTGCATAACCGACAATGTAAACAGCAAAGCTCTCATAAACAAATTTAGATTTTAAAAATTAGTCCTTGCACATGCTAGTAGCTTAGTGGGCATGCCTCAGTGGAATAAAACAGGTTTTAATCTGACAACCATAGCATTAAAATACAAATTTACTATTTCATAGTCTTAAATGCATAATCCCTCTAGTGCTTTTTTTCCAACTCATGCTTCACCCCAAAGATTATACAGATGAAGTAAGATGAGAACTAAAAAGCATCCATTCGACTTGGCATTTAGGAAATCAACAGTGGCCCTCCCATCTAGCTGAATTCAAAACCCATACATTCCATGATAGCCAAGTTTTGTGACTTTGTTTGGTTCTCCTAATTCTCTAGGGCTCAATTATCTGATATGCAAAATAATGTCACAGTAACCACTCAGTTAATGTTGGATGGATACACAGATGAATGATTACAAGACTGGATGGATGGACGGTTGGAGAATTAAACAGATGGATGACAAGGGCTGGCCCAGTGCTTTAATGGAAGATAGTCTAAATCAACAGCAGGACCAATGAAAGTTCTTGTGTTCTTTTTATTTGTTATAAAAAAGATAGACTTACACATATTTGTGGAAGGGTAAAGAATCCAGCAAAAAGAGAGACATTAAAGATACAAAAGAGTACAAATGACCAAGAGGCATGATGCCAAGAGCCCAGAAAGCACACCCACCCCGCCTCCAAAAGGTACCCTACCATTTCTTGCCCTGAGACAGGAAGAAAAGGAAGGATGAATGAATAGAGGGGAACAGTCTATTTTGGAAAATAGGGTGTGATATGAGCTGTTTCACCAGTAAGAAGGCGACAAAGGGATAAAGTGGGTGACACTGATCTCAGTGGAGATGTGGGTAAGGCTTGCCTTCTGAGAATAAGGAGAGTGGGGATGGAACTGGGAATGTGAGAGTTGAAGCGGTAGTTTGGATCTATACCTTGCAGGACAGAAGGACCAAAAACTATACTTGAGACCCAGATTATATTTAAAATAAAGACACATTTGTCAAGGAGCCCATTAGCAATGCCTTGTGACCTCCTCCATACGATTTGGCAGAAGCAGAGAGAATGATCAAAAAGCACTGGGACTAGGGGTGGAGATCCAGGTTTGGAGCTGGCCTAAAGTACAACTGCCCCACCGGGAAGGAACAAAAATCTGGCAAAGGGATAAACAAACAAGACCCTTCCATCTACCCTGCAAACCTAAAAGCTGAGTCTTCCCTGAAGATGCCTAGATTCTTCCTAGCCGATAAGCCCTCTTCTTCTTGAACTGCATGTTCTATATATAAAACACTTCTTGTGAATCAGGGCCTTCCCTATACCCTACACCACACTTAAAAATGCTTCAAGATTCCCATACAGCAGCACCCTAGTAATTCCACACCAGTTCCATTAAACCCACAGGAAATACAATGATGTCTCAGCCTGAAATTGGCTAAGTGCTTCCTAAGGATTAGAGTAGGTGATGATATCACAGGAGAATAGATAGTGATGCTGGAGATTAAAGAGGAAATATGAAACTTTCCCGCAGTCTGCTCCCAAATGGAAAGACTGCAAAATTGACACCTGCTCTAAGTCTTCAGAAATATATCTGGTGGTGAACAGTTTTTTGGCAACAGGGTAATTTCTGGGCTTAAATGAGATAAATCAAGGCAGTGGGCATGGATTTTATAATATCTATAATCTTTTTAGCTTCTTGTTAGAATTCTCAAATTATCC